TCATATTTCCAACAGCGGGCACAAGATTGAGTGCAGCTGAAAGATGATCGGCTAGCCTACTAGTGGCAATGCAAAGCACAAAATTGATTTATATTTCATGTTTCATCCCTGGAACCATCAACTCTGAGTTTCTAACAAGGAATTGATTCCCTTGGAATCATCGTCTGCAATGTGTCATTTTGTTCGGCTTTTGTCTCTTCGTTTTTTTTTTTTTTTTTTTTTTTTTTTTTTTTGCCCTAGGCCTTTAGCAAGCATAATGTCAAGGTGTTGAATATCTGATAAACTGGCACCAGGGAAGTCGATGAATCAAAGTTTTTATTTTCTTTTGTAAAATCGGTTTATTATTCACTGTAGTGTGTTGGCATTCTTATGCTTTGGAGTTGGAGGCCCAAAAACTTAGCAGATTCTGTTTTTTGGAAATGTGTAAGGTCCATTGATGATGAGTCCGAGAAGGGCTCATGAGCATTGGTCTCTGACTTTCCGTCCATCAGCATCAAGTGGTAGTGTGAGGATGGTGAGCAAAAATATTCTCAACTTGCAGATTGCTATTCAACTTCTCTAGCAAGGTCGAGTCCATTAACATAAAAAGAAAGTTTGTTAAGAGTCTGAATAACAGTTCTAAGTAATCTAATAAACGGTGTGACATTCCAACTAGCCTCTTTCGGATTAAGAAGGAATGGAAAACCAATAATTTGTTGCCAGTTATCATTTAAAATAAATAAATATAAATAAACCATGTGACATACGTTAGAATTATGTAAGAGTCGTGTAAGAAACAATTATTAGTGTAAATTAATGTGGTGGAGTAGTTGGAAACTTGGAGGATCATTTAGATAAAACTTGTTTTTTGGGGGGTGGGTGAGATTTTGGGCAATTTCAATGGGTTTGTAATCTGCTCAAGGTACGCAAGTCAATCACACAAGCAAGCTCATGTAATCTAAATTAAGTTAAAACGAGCTATGCCTATATATCAATTCATCACAAAGTAATCGTAAATGGACAAAACTTAGGTACTTACGGAAGAATATTTAATTTACCGACCATCCTGCGTGACCCAATAAAAATTTAACACTTGTAATATGAGACCATCACCATTCACCAAACACCATCCTGTCTTGCTGACCAAACATCCACCACTCCATTTGAGCCTATAACCAATCACCATCCTTCTTCCTCTCCTTCCAAACAGCCATAGCAGATTCTAACGGTCGACCCCACTGACCCAACTCCATCACAACCTCTAATCTGACCGGCAAATTACTTAATCATCCATACTAAAATCGACTTGTTGTCGTCGAAGAGAAGGACTGGCTTCTCCAATTACAACTATTTTGATATATAACATCAACATATAAGTGAGAAACAATGAGTATGAAATTAACTACCTCCATAACTTTGGTTCATGAATTTTTAAGTATGAAATCATGCAATTTATTGTCGCATTTATATACTTTTTGGTACTTTCCATTATTTTTTTTGTAAATATTTACTCAACGAAACGAGATGTGGTTCAATTTTTTCATAAACATTGTTCTTAGTTTCTACGCGTTATTTCACTACCATTATAAGTAAGTAAATATGTCAAAATTTTATTTAGCTGAAAATTTAGTTTACAAATAGTAAGAAAAATACTATTGTTCATAGGAAAGGAGAAATTCAACATCATTATTTACACATTCGCATCTCAATATTATTTTTTATTGTAAGATTAAATAAAATAAAAAAGATCAACAAACAAAAAATATATCATTTATTAAAAAAAAAACATGTTTAAAACCAATACAAAGTGGAAGGCAAAATAACTCAACAGAGCGCGGGCGCCAACTGCGCTGGAAAGTAAAAAGTAAAATGTGCCAAGTGACGAGGAAAAGGAAAAGTCAAATAAATAAATAAATAAAATCCTTCCGTACCAAAACGGAAAGACATAAAAATTGCAGTGATATGAAACACGGCAGGAAATACAGAAACGAACAGCTCAACAACTCAAAGCACTTTCTTCTTCTTCCTTCCAACTCCTCTCACCGTCGCAATTCGCAGAGTGATCTCTTCAACGAACTTCAAAGTCTCCATCTTTATGTCGTTTTGGTAGTACCCACGATGCGCCAATTCCTTCAATCCCCATCGCAATCGCCCGCAGCTTCTCCTCAGCCCCAACCCGGCGTCAGCACCCGCCTCCCCCACCCTATCGCCGCCGCCTCCGCCACCACCGCCTTCTCTCTCCTCCTCTTCCTCGTAGTCTGCTTCCGAAAAATTACCCGGAAGCGGACCACCCCGGAATCCGACTCCAAGCCCCCCCACCGCTTCTCCTACTCCGTCCTCCGCCGCGCGACCGACTCCTTCTCCCCCACCCGCCGTCTCGGCCAAGGCGGCTCCGGGTCCGTGTTTTTCGGCACCATCCCTCACACCCGACAAGATGTCGCCGTCAAGCTCATGGACTCCGGCTCGCTACAGAGCGAGCGCGAGTTCCAGAACGAGCTCTTTTTAGCCTCTAAGCTCGATTCTTCGCTCGTCGTCTCGGTCCTCGGATTCTCCTCCGACCCGAAACGGCGGCGTATGGTGCTGGTGTACGAGTTTATGAGCAACGGTAATTTGCAGGACGCGCTGCTGAAGAGGAAGTGCCCCGAATTGATGGAGTGGAGAAAAAGGTTTTCGATTGCCGTTGATGTAGCGAAAGGGCTGAGATATCTTCATGGGTTGGACCCACCGTTAATTCACGGCGATGTGAAGCCGAGTAATGTGCTACTGAACGGCGGCTTCGCTGCCAAGATCGCCGATTTCGGGCTCGCTAGGCTGAAATCGGAGGATCAGGTTGTGATTGATATTGATGACGTGCCGAAGAAGGAGGAGCTTGAGAGCAATGGCGGGTGCGACTATGGGTCGGTGGTGGAGGAAACTGAGAGTGTGACCACAGCTGGGTTTGATGATTTGAACGTGGGTGTTGATCAGTCGCCGGTGGATTTAGCGAAGGGTCCTGTTTCGCCGGAGACTTCGGTGACACCACCGTCCCCGGTGTCTCCAGAGGGGAATTTGGAGGAGGGAGGGAAGCAGAGGGTAAATAAAGATTGGTGGTGGAGGCAGGACAGTGGAGTGAAGGACTATGTAATGGAGTGGATTGGGAATGAGATTGGGAATGATAGGCCAATTGGAACTACTGCCTCCGGTTCGAGTAGTGAAACGGTGGGAAAGTTAAGAAGAAGAGGAAGAACAAGAGGAGATTGGAATGGTGGGTGTCGATGGACGAGGAAAAGAATGCGAAGAAATCGAATAAGGAGAGGAAAAGGCCTGCCAGGGAATGGTGGAAGGAGGAGTACTGTGATGAGCTTGCAAAGAAGAAGAAAAAGAAGGACAAGAAGCAACCGAAAGGAATGAGCTTTGACGACAATGATGACAATTGGTGGTCACGCGATGAGGAATTGTACGCGGAGAGTAAGAAGAAGATCAAGAAGAGGAGTAGGAGCAAGAGTTGGGGGAGTGTGAGTAGTATTGATTGGTGGTTAGACGGAATGCGGCGTAATGGTAGCCATGATTCCGGGGAGATTCCAAAGAGTGGCGCCATGAGTAGTACTCCGAGCATGAGAGGGACTGTGTGTTATGTTGCCCCTGAATACGGTGATGGTGGTGATCCGTCTGAGAAGTGGGATGTCTATAGTTTTGGAATTTTTTTATTGGTTCTTATAGCCGGAAGGCGCCCACTTGAGGTCACAAATTCGCCCCTGTCCGAATTCCAAAGGGCAAATCTGTTATCGTGGGCGCGCCATCTTGCCCGCTCAGGGAAGCTTGTTGATCTCGTTGATAAATCCATTCAGTCTTTGGATCAAGAACAAGCGATCCTTTGCATTACCGTGGCTTTGGTTTGCTTGCAAAAAGTGCCTTCTCGCCGCCCCTCGATGAAGGAGGTTGTGGGGATGCTGACTGGTGAGTTGGAGCCACCCAAACTACCGCGTGAGTTATCCACTTCAGCTAAGTCACGCTTCCCATTTAAGTCTCAGACGAATGTCCGGTGAGTTTCTAATGTATGATTTTGTGTCTTTATCGTTAACATTAAATGATATACTGCTATAGATCATTGCTTCGTCATTCTTTGTGGATGATTTGTGTATCGAAAGAAAGGAAAAGGAACAGTTTTACTTGTATTACTTATGATTTCATCAATGAATTCGAATTTTATCGGAATTTCTTTCATTTGCTCATATCTTTACTGGTAGGCCTACAAATCAAACTGTTTTCGATTTCGTATGTAATCATAGTTGGTGTAAAGATGGAAACACTGTCACTTTGTCACATTCCTCTTGCACTGACTTTCAGGAATTTCGAGTTTACTTTCTCGGAGGCCGGCCCCGTGCTTTTAACAACGAGGCCAGCCCTACTCATTTGAATAGGTTTCCTAGAAATTGAACTACTACCTGCTCAGTGAAATTCGATTAGTTGACCCCTCCCCTCTTAAAGAAAAGTAAAGGGAAAACAAAGAAGAAAGCAACTTGCTTTTTATCATCATTTGAAATATTGGCCAGGGTAGTTGTGGTTCCTGTCTCCAGCTTTTTGGAGGTTGGCTATACCTTTTGCATATATTCCATTTTTCACCTGGTAGTTGGTAATGATTGGGAGGGAAAAAATTCAGATAAACCCGGGTATTGGAAAAACCGAAAAAGGCCAATACAAATGCAAACGTGGACGGAGAATGGATATAACTTGTCCCGTGACAATGCTTGGCCCTGTTTCTAAGATGGTTAGTAAATAGGTTTTTTTCCTGCACAGCTTCATCGGTTGTGCAGAAAAAGGCACGACACTCGTGCAATTTTCTTAGACATGCTCTAGTTTAGAGATTTGGCACGTTTATTACTGAGAAATTTGGTAAACATTTTGTTGTCTCTATGTTTCGAGATCATGTCCTTCACAAGTGATTTCTTTCTTTCGGTGCCAAGGTATGCTTGTTGATGATGATTCTTTTAGCTTGAATGTACAAATCAAAGATTCTGCTTATAACTTCACCCCGTAGCTGGTTCGTTGCGAATACAGATATACAGGTCAACTGACTCAACTCAACCTTTGCCAGCTTGAAGCCTAGAATTTGATATTTTAACGTATAAAGACTTTACGGTGAAGGTCTGTCTACTAAAAACAATTTATTACAGGTAGAGTTTGTTACAAGCAGAAGTGATATGTATAGCCTGTGAGTCATTTGTGCTACTAATTATTTGTTCACTTGCTCATCTTATGATTGAGCTTTGTCACCATGCGCACATGATGCTTGCAGTTACAAACAACTCCTTGTAGAATAGTTTAGTATACTTCCCATGGCATTTATACAGATCATTGATAACATTTCACATGCATACAGAGAAAGATGACTTTTTAGCCAAAATGGTCCTCAAGATTGACATAACTCCTCATTTTGGTCCTTGAGATTGAAAATCAATAGAAGGGTCCCTGAGTTTGTCGACTGTCAATCATTTTGGTCATTCCGTAAAAATCTCCGTTAAATAGAGGGTATTTGTGTCAAATCAACCCATCCATGTGCTTTTCCATTTAACAGAGATTTTTTCACGGAAGGACCAAAATGATTGACGGTGGACAAACTCAGGAACCAAAGTGAGGAGTTATGTCAATTTCAGGGACCATTTTGACTAAAACCCCGAGAAAGATTGATGCTTACATTTTTAAGAAACCATAGTTAACTTAATTTTGTGTTGCTTAATAAGAATTGTTTTAGCATTTCATCTGAATTGTATATGTTCCTATTTGCAATTTTTTCAAGTAAGCTCGGTGGCTTCTGATTTGTGGTCAAGTAAGTAGCTAAAATAAGAGAAAAGGATATGAAATATGTGGGGAAGGGGTTTAGAGTTGAGCAGGTTTGGAGGGTTCTCTCCGTCTTCCGACCATGAGCAGGTTTCCGACTACGCTGTCATCTCGAATGTCTCATGTATAAGTATCGACAGATCTGAGGTGCTTTGTGAAGCTAATAACATGGATCTGCAAAGTGGGATTCTGTCTTTGGTAAATGTTAGCCAAGGAAGCTCTCTGAGAGGCCATGGATGGACTTGCTGATGACTCGCAGCGAAGAACCGATATAATTGATGGCAGGGAAAGAAACTGGAAGCAATGAACATTTATGTCATTTGAACATGTTTTATTGATGGCAGGGAAACCAATTCATACAATTCTGTAATTTTTGTGTTTCAAATATCAATATAATGAGAAATATAATTTTCTTTCGTTCAGTGTTATATCTTGTGTTATTGGATTTGTTTTAATTACAAATAGCCAAAATTTAACCTCTTAATATATATATATATTTTAAATAAACGATATTATTTAGACTAAAAAGGTAGGACAAAGAGAGTGACTTGGGGGGGGGGGTGGGAAGGTTAAGTCTCACAACGGTTAGTAATAATGTGGTTTATATTCATTTTCGGTGAAAGTCGAACCTAAAAATTTTCACTTACAAATGATAGGAATACTAATAGACCGTAGTACTAAACAGCGACAATTGAATATATTTAAGTGGGTTTTTTGTTATATTTGAGTAATTATATTGTCACTTTTGAAATTATTATATAAATATATGATAAGAACTCCTAGAGAGAGGAGAGAACATGGAGTAATGTTAATCGGGTCTTCAATTTCATGGGTTGGTTTGCAATTTGGGTTTCTTTGACCCGTTTGTAATTTCAATTAAATTCTTCATCTTGTCCGTCCATTTTAATCTAACGGTTTTTATTCAATGTGTATGTAAAAAGTGGTTATGTGCATTTGAGAAAAATTGCTAAATGGCGGCCTATGGAAGTCCATGGAGTGGACCCAAACTTGGCAATGCAAAAAGGGGCTTACGGGCCCAATGGCATATTGATTTTTTGTAGTTGGTAGTTATGGGCCCTTACGTTGGCTTTCTGGAAAGTCGCAAACGAGGTGTTGATTAAGCGACCTTACTTCAAAAGTGATTTTCACTTTTTTTTTTGTGCACATTTTTTTTGTTTTCGTAATTTTATTTTTTTAATCAAAATTCAAAGGCTAAAAATGAAACGGGTACGAAAATCAATTCCTAAGTTGTAAAAATTAGATCAAAATAACTTTGTACTATATAATCATGAATGGACTCAAGCATGTTAAGAGTTGGATTAGGTGAAAAAATGGCAGAGTGTGATAATTATTTTGGGGTTTGTACTTATAAAAAAAATAATGGTTTGAAGAGTCTAGAAACTCTCTATTTTTAGACTTTTGAGGGCTTATGCATACGAATGTTCAACCAACTTCGGGATCTATATACTAAAACAATTAAGCCTTTGCACATATACATAGATAGAAGTGGAAAAAATTCCCAAAAATCCCGAATCAAACCGAAAAAATTCCGATCCCAAACTAAAAATTTTCCAAACCTAAATTCTCGAAATTTTCGAGATGCTATCCCAAACTGATCCCGAAATTTCGGTACGAGATTCGGGATTGGGTTCTCGATATTTCGGGAATCCCATACCAAACCACAAATATATAATATTAATTATTATTATATATATTTATACATATATATTATATATATTATTCTTTTATAATTGATGCTAGTAGTTTCTAATTCATGCTCTGCAACCTGGAATGCCCTACACCTTGCATATTTTTCATGTTTTGTTTGATATTCATTTGGATTTTATTATTGCTGCTACCATGACTAATGATTTCAGAAGGCTTGATTATTTTGTCTCTCAACAGATTGCAAAAAGGGTTTAATTAATTTGAATTTTGACTCTGATAAAAACAATCAGGCATGTCAGTGTTCGATTAAATGGTAGTGTGAATGAAATGACATTCTTAGTTCATGAATGTGTTCTTGAATTATATATTTGAAGAACAATTCATAATTTCATATTTCAATTTGGGATTCCCGATTTGTTCCAAAATCCCAAAAATATTTCGGGATTCTCGAAATTTGGGATTCCCGAAAATTTGGTTTGAAAATGGTCTTCAAATTCCCGTCCCGAAAATTTTTGGTTTGGGATTCGAAATACTAGTTTCGGTATAGCATCCCATACCGAACCACCCCTATACATAGATGGAGGCAGCTAAGGCCCACCGGAGCAGCTGCTGCCACTGCAGTTTACTGAGGAAAAAAATTATGATGATTTTAGAAGGTGCAAAGAACGTATTGGTAATATTATTCATGCTTCTTTTAGTGATGAAAAAGACATGTAACTTGAATTTACCATAGTTTTAGTACTTTAAATAATTTCAGTTTGTATTCCCCTCATTGTAATTCCTACAAGTTGTGGTTTAATGAAGTTCGCGAAAAAAGAAAAGGCAATGAAATGATTGAAGATGGGGTGTTTGATGATCTTCATCCCTCAAGTAATACTAGAGGCTAAGGTCGCTCCCGTTAAAGAAAATTTCTAGCTCCGTCTATGCATATATACAGATCAAGGTATGCAAAGATATACAGAAGGATACACGCATTCCCTTGAAGTCGGCTGGACAACAGTGGGTAAAATGATGTGTTCTCAGGTTAGCGACAGATTTTATGTTCATGCTCTTTGATAAATGGACAAGGCAACAGAAGTAATCGACCACTTAAAAGAGGTTGCATTGTGGCCTTAAGCGAAGATCGAGCACATGAATAGCCCTTCAGAGCAAAGAGCACAAACTGTTAACCTTAACCTAAGACAGAGGTTGCCTATAAGTTTGATGCAAGAAGCAATAAGTCATTTCTAGAAATATCATCAATCTGATGATATATGTAGGTCCATTTATAATTGTAGTCTTGTACTTCATAAATAAAATAATACCCGAAAATAAATCTGTAATCTGATATTTTGTAACTTGGCAGCAATATTAGACCAAAGTCACACACAAATATACAGATATACACACACACATATACACGCTGCTAGGTCAAAGTGAGGTTCTTCTACAAGGCTTTGCATCCCTCCCATATTCATATTCAAGTAGAGCTAACTGAAACGGCATCAGTAAGTACTTAAACTAAATAACACATAGTAAATTGTAAGAATTTACGTTTGAGTCATCACCAAATTTGATCCCAAAATAAAAGAGAAAATTGAAACATTGGTCCATGATATTTGACCCAATTGAAGTATTGATTACTGAAATTTGATCCCAAAATATCATTGCTCCATACTGTGACAAGTTCAAAGACCAATACTTACGGAATTTTAGTTCGAAAACCAAATCTCCAATTGGGTCAAAGTCTAAGGACCAATGCTCAAATTTTCTCGGAAACAAAAAATAAGATTGGGAGCAGCATACTGGGAGAGTCCAAGGCCAAATGAATCAACACAGGTATTAAGTTACCCGGATATTCATTTAGATCGTGGAAGCACTTCATCTAGTTTATGTTCCAGCGCAGAAAGATTGATACTCTCTAGATCATTCACCTGAGAAAAAAAAAATTAAATAATTAAACACACGCACGCACAAAACAGCAACTTCAAACATACATACTTACACACAAAACCCTAAACCTAATATTGACCAATAAATTAGGAGTACTTGATAGAGTACCTCGGACTGGATAGTATGAAGGAGTCTGTCATCTATTTTGGAGGAGACACAGCTCACAACACAAAGCCCTTGTTCAAGAAGCACTTCTAAAACCCTAGAAATTGAGAAGCGTAACCCTTCCTCTCCAGATCTGAAGCCGATGGCAGTACTGATCACGATTTGCACTCCACCGCAACATGGGTGGACTGTGAAACAGCTTGGCGATCCCCCGTAGGAACTTTCACCACCATGGTCGTCCGTACTAGTACTAGAGCTAATTAGATCGGAGACCTTCTTCAGTTCAGCTCTCTTGGCGTCTAATCTCTTGATCCTATTCTGGAGGTGCTTTATATAATTTACAGCCTCGTTCATGTGGTCAGATATCGAACGCTTACCCTGCTTTCGCAACGAATATATGTCAGCAACCCTAGTCATCATTCTTGCAGCTAACCGTGTGTGTGTGTGTGTGAGAGAGAGAGAGAGAGAGAGAGAGAGAGAGAGAGAGAGAGAGAGACAGAGAGGATGAATGTATGGCATTAGAAAATGACATGGTAATTTGAGAGATTTTGGTGTTTGATTTGTGGGTGGTATGCGTGTGTGAGAGTGGCCCTCCACCTAATCTCTTTGCCCCAAGGGAATACAAGGTAAATATATGAGTGGTAAGTGATGGAAGGATTGATATGAATTGGGCAAGTCAAGGTTGTAATGTTATAAACAAATTTGCATTGCTACGTGAAACCTAAAATGAGTGACATAGTGTTATTAGTTAAGTATTTTACCGTTAGTTCAGTATATCATTGTGACGCCTCTAGAGTATATATTCTTTAGAGGAGGAGATCTAGATAAAAATTTACTGGCACCACCATTCTAGAGAGTGGTTGGAGTAGCATTATTTTTTAGGCACTTACTCCTCTGTAACTAGTTATAAATAACTGCGAAGTAATTATTTGAAGTCAAATTTAACCAACTATTTGCTAGCATTCTTGGAGATGCTTGAAGCCTGCCTGCCTTTATTCATTTACCATGAATCATTTTGTTTGCATATCCTCCCCTTTTGAGATAGTGGAAACAACACACACTGCTTTTCAGTGCTAGTCTGCTACAGAATTGATATCCCTAGTCTGAAACAGAAATGGAAAAGGTGAAAAACAAATGGAGGAGACAAGAATGCCAGATCCTCAGGCTGGATTACAGCAATGTTTCCTTCTCAATCAGAGAGTAAAAACTGAAAAGGGTGCAACTCTAACTATGGTCACCGAGAATTTTTTTGGTATGCTCTCGAGTATTTTGTTCATCGGGTTTTTAGGCCCTTAGGTCTAAAGGAAAAAAAAATCCGGTGCATATGATACAATGGAGCATATGGAGAATTTTCGTGATCGAGCAATTGAATTTAATCATCGTGTAATGATTTTAATTTTTTTTTCTCTATTTGTTAGTTATTTGGGGTGCTTATTGGAGTTGAGACACTTTCTTCAATAGACATCAAATTAAAAACCTGCTCAGAAACGGAAGAAAAGGTGGTATGCTTTGACTGTAGGGCTAGTAGAATAATGAGCCCATGCTTGCTGTGTAGGATAAAGTCACTCAGATACTTCCACAAAGTTTAGTTGAAGTCATCATTTGCTGTTGGTGCTGGTCGGACAACGGAGAGAGACTTGTCTTCCGCCTCGGGAGGCCTGGACATAGATGTAGGGATGTGCAAATAACCATTGATTATGGGTAACTGCGGTTATCCGTCCATTTAAATTAAACGGTTACGGTTATAGGTAACTATTTAGATAAATAAACGGTTATGAGTATAACCGTTTACCCGCGAAATTTAAATGGGCGGTTATGGGTATTAACCAAGGTTATAAACGGGTAACCGTTTATCCATTTATTTTATATATGTAAAACTAACACAAATCATGTTCTCGATCCAATAATACTTAGCACCCAATAAATTAGTAAGGAATTCATCGGTCATTCTCTCAATAATACTACTACAGGAATGATGATTCTCATCATCAAGGAATTGGCCAAATTAATTTAAATTCCTTGCGGGTAACCGTGAAATTGATAGAAATGCTTTCTAAACAATTTTTGTAACCCAATAATACTTAGCAAATATTATATTTACCTTCATTGGTAACAATTAAAAATATCGTCCGTAAACTATTATTTCAATTATTGGAATAGTATAAAGACTTAAAAAATTAAAATATGGAAATGTATGATGAATGTACCCTATAACAGTGTTTAATTGTCAAAAAAAAAAATTATGACATTTTTTTTAAATTTTCAAGTTGTTAAAAAACATCTAGACTGGTGAAAAAAGGGTAATGGTAAAAAAAATAAAATAAACGGGTTAAAAAGGATAAATATTAAACGGGTATTAAACGGTTACGGTTAAATAAGTATGCGGTTATGGATATGGTTAACCGTTTATAAACGGTTATGGGTATGCGTATAATCGTTTAGGCAATTACCCAACGGGTAAACGGTTATGCATGTTTGAGCATAAACGGTTATGGGTAAATTAACCGTGGTTACCCGCCCGCATAACCATTGCCCATCCCTACATACATGCATCTTTTTAGGACCCGTTTGGTGGGCTGGTTAGTCTAGGTTGTAAAAATTTAAAATGGATTTGAGCCAATGTTGTTTTTTTTTTTTTTGTCACATACTAGTTTTCGAGCTTTGGATGTAAGTTCGTAATAGGTTCTGTGCCCTAATTCTTCAACTACACCATTGATTTCTTCGATTAAGATTCAGAATATTGGATCTATGGTTCAATTAAGCTCATCACCACAAATTACCTTACCTGGAGTGCTCTCTTTGCTCTGATCTTCTGTCAGTATAATCTCACTAGAATTATTGATGACCTATGGTGGCTCCACCCAAATACCTTCTTGATTCATCACGAAATCACACATCTGCAATAAATCCTCAATATGTGGCTTGGTTTGATAATGATCAGAATATTCTGATCTAGACTAATTCTACACTCATGATTAGAATATTATGATCTAGATTAATTCTACGCTTTCTGATTCTCTATTCCTTACATTGTTGGCATTAACTCTGCTCGTGAGTTCTGGTCAAAATTGGAATCCAGACTTGCGACAGCTTCGTAATTGCCACCAAGGGAGATTCTATTGTTGCAATTTATCTTTAACAAATTGAAGAAATCGATGATGCTTTTGCAAGTGCTGGTGTCTAGTTGAAGTGTCTGAATTCTTCTCTGTCACTCTTAAGAGTTTGTTGCTTGAGTAGGAATCATTTGTTGATGCTAACCAATTTTGGCTTGGTATTACTACAAATGATGAACTTCATAGCATACTTCTCAGTAAGGAAATTCAATTGACCAATTGGAAGAAATCCTCATTTCCCACACCTTTTTAAGCCTACAATTCATCAAGTGGAATTCTCATACACCAATTGGTGACTCAAATTCTCAAGCTTATGTTGCTTAGAATGAACCTAATTTCAATTCCTATCAAGGCCGTGGTATGGATCGAAAATTTTCAAGCCCTAGAAATTTTCAGAATTGAGGAAATCAGAGGTACAATCAAGGCAATTAGAGGTACATTCGAGGCAATTAAGGTAACTAGAGGTACACTCATGGTTCTCGCTCTCATTTCAACAACTTTATGTAAAAGAATTTCATGCCAAGAACTCTCAGTCTACCTTTCATGCTAGCACCTCCTCTACAACTCTCACATGGCTTTCGATTATGGAGCAAACTCACACATGACCAATTCTTATGCAAATTTGCAATATCTTAAAGGTTTTTATCACAAATGGTTCTTGAAATTGACCCTCACCATCAAGATGGTCATTGAAATCGAAAATCAATCAATGTAGTCCCTGAAAATAGGTTTCGCAAATCAATGTGGCCCTTCCATCACAATTCTGTTAAAACTTCCATTAAGTGATGATATGGCACATAAAAGGGTCGCATAAGTTGTTTTTTTCTCACAAATGGTCTTTGAAATTGACTGGCGACATCAAAATGGTATCTGAAATTGACATGCGACATTAAAATGGTCCATGGAATTGAAAATAAACAATGTAGTCCCGTAAGTAAGTGTTTCAGATCAATATAGTCCTTCTGTCACAACTCTATAAAAAATTTGTTATGTGCTGATGTGGCACATAAATGGATCGCACAAGTTTAATTAAATTAAAAAAAAATTACAAATAGGTTTAATAATTCAATAGTTAATAAAAAGTTGTGAAACAAAAACCCAATCCTGCAATCACCTCCGATCCCATTCCACATTCCTCTAGCTCATTTGTTGTCTATTCTCTATAAAAAAAAAAAAATCTCAATACACCCATTTTTACACACTTCGACACTCTTCACCTAATTGAACCTAGATCGAGATCACCTTTGGTGATGGCTTGGCTGATTGGCAACAACTTCTGGGACATCACCATTAACATTTAAGTGATCAACATCCTCACAACCTTAATCTTGTAGAGCTTGTTCGGCGCTTCTCTGGTGGTCTGGTGAGTCAAAGAATGGCGAGGTCTGCCTTGAAATAATGAGGTTATAACCGAGGTGCATCTATTGTTGGTGGAAAACTATTTCCAAACCCCATCTTAGGCATTGGTTAAGCCTTGTGCCCTTAAGAATTTATGGAAGGGATCTCTCTTCGTAGTAGGTCCTACTATAACAACAAAATTTCCATTGCGCAAAAAGGTATTTAGACAACTTTTTCAATTACGTAAATCCGACCGTGAATCTGCAAGAAAGTAAAGAACACAAGATGTATCGTGGTTCACCCCAATGTTTGGGCTACGTCCACATTGATATTGTATTTCTCTGAGAGGATTATGAGGGAAAGAGTCTCTATAATGTGAGAGTGAGGCTTTGAGAGGGTGAGAGCTTCTGAGGGTGAGAGAGCTCTTTCCATGGCCTAAGAATTGGCCTCCCTTAATGAGGAGAGTGATGGGTCCTTTTATAGAATAAGGGCTCCTCACTTATTATATATTTGCCTCTTCATTTATTACATAATTACATTTAAGTCCCCCGAGTATTTATACGAGATCTAAATACGGAGGCCCTAAGTATGGTACAAACAATATTCCCCCAAGTCTTCAGTCAAGAGAGTCTTTTGGCTAGAGACTTGAAATTCAGTCCATGTGTGGGTCGAAGTAACTAGTTGTTGTCTTGAACTGATGCTGGATATGAGGCGTTGCTCAATCTGAAGTGATGCTCAACTAGAAGTAGCACATGTTGCGAGGCTGCTTGGTTGTGGCTTATGTTGCTTTGGTTGGCTCAGCTTGTGGCGTTGAAGGTGAGGGAGTCCCTTTTATAGAATAAGAGCTCGTTCCTCAATACATAAGTGATGGGTTAAGAGTGATGCTCGCGGCGAAGTGGTTGCTCAGCTGGCGGCGATGCTCTCTAATGAAGGTGAAGAAGTCCCTTTTATAAAATAAGGGCGCGCTCATCAGTACATGAATAATAGGTTAGGAGTGATGCTCACGACGAGGCGGTTGCTCAGCTGGCAGCGATGCTCTCTAATGAAGGTGAGGGA